CTTACATCCCCATAGTATCCCATGTATCCTTCCCTCTCTCCCTACCAGAAAGCCATTTCATATGACAAACAGAATTTTTTAAGGGAGGGGGGAGTCAGCACAATTGAGTTTACATTGAGAAAGTCTGAAAATATGTGCAATAAGTAACACCTGTGGACCTCCTACCTCCACGAAGGGGTAGGTTAGGTTGTCTTCTTCTATCTCTTCATTTGAGTCCTCCTTGATTTTCATAATTTTATTACATTTACTTTTAATTTTTTGATGTTGCTCTTTCCATTTACATTGTAGTTACTGTGTGTATATTGTTTTCTTGGCTCTGCTTGCTTCTCTCTGAATCAGTTCATATAGATCTTTCCAAGCTTCTTCCATCATTTCTTAAAGCACAGTTGTATTCCATTACAGTCTGGTACCATAATTTGTTTAGCCATTTCCAAACTGATGGCCACCTACTTTATTTCCAATTCTCAGCTATCACAAAAAGTACTGCTATAAATATTTTAGAGCATATAAGGACTTTTCTTCTTAGCAATGGCTTCCTTGGGGCATAAGCCTAACACTGGAGTCTCCAGTTCAAAGGGTATGGACATTTTAGTCACTTTATTTGCATGATTCCAAATTGCTTTCTAAAATGATTAAACTATTTCACAGCTCCACCAACAATGGGTTAGCATGTGCCCATCTGTTGATCTTTCTAAATTTGTGTGTTGCCATTTTTTGTCATTTTTGCCAATTTGCAGGGTATGAGGTAAAACCACAGGGTTCTTTTGATTTTAATTTCTCTTATTACTAGTGATTGGAGAATTTTTTCATGTGGTTTCTCCTTTCACTTCTAAGTCACTTGCAATCTGATTAACTGAAACTGCCCTCTCTGAAGTTACCACTGATCTAATAGTCTTTTTTTAAACCCAATTCTTCTCAACCTCTCTGCAGTCCCTTTAACAATGTTGATCATCCTTGCCTTTTGGATACTCTGTCCCCTCTAGGTTTACATGACAGTGCTCTCTCCTGGCACTTCTCTGCCTTTCCTATGTCTCCTTTGCTAGATTTTCATTCAGGTTATGCACACTAAGGTACACCCCAAAGTTCTGTCCTCAGCCCTCTTCTCTTCTCTCTCTCTTTTCTTGCATTTGGTGATCTCATCAGCTCCTATGGGTTCAAACAGCATCTCTTTAAATGATTTCAGATTTAAAAGTCCAGTCCTTTTCTCCTCAGCTCCAGTCCCATATCACCGACTTTGGGTTTCTTGAACTGAATGTCTTGCAGGTGTATCAAACTCACCATGTCCAAAAGGGAGTTCATTGTCTTTTCCCTGAAACCATATCCTCTTCCTAAACTCCCTATTACTGTTGAGGGCACCACCATCTTTTCATTCACTTCATTCAGTCAGGTGCCAAATCTTGTCCTTTCTACCATCACAACATCTTTCCTGTATGTCCAGCATTTAGGACGTGCCTGGCACATAGTAAGTACTTAAGAAATGTTTATTGAATTGAATGTCCCTCTCTTTACACTCAAAGAGTTATCACCTCAGTACAAGATCTCATCACCTTTTACCTGAATACCTTTCTAATTGGTCTCTTCCTATTCCAATCCATCCTCTACTTAGCTGCCAAAGTGATTTTTTGGGGGAGGCAATCAGGGTTAAGTGACTTGCCCAGGGTGACATAGCTAGTAAGTGCCTGAGGCTAGATTTGAACTCAGGTCCTCTTGACTCCAGGGCTGGTGTTCTATCCACTATACCACCCAGCTGCCCCTAAAAGTGATTTTCCTGAAGTCTGACCATGTCATCTTACTACTCAACAAACTCTATAAACTGGCCCCTTTCTACCTTTCCACCACACACTACAATTTAGTTTCACTGTCCTACTTGCTGTTCTCACATGACATGCTATCTCCCTTGGCGCACTGGCTATCCCCCATGCTTGGAAAATTATGCCCCCTTACCTCTGCCTCCTGGATTCCTTGGCTTCCTTCAAAATTCATTTTATATCCCCCCTTCTGTAGGAGGCCTTTCCTGTCCCCCATCCCTTTAATAGTGCTTTTCTTTTGAGATTACTTAGCTTAGCATTTATGTACACTGTCTCCCCCATTAAAATGTGAGCCCCTTGAGAGCAGGGGCTGTTTTTGCCTTTCTTTGTATCATTTATGTCTGACTCTTCATGACCCCATGGGCCACAGCATGCCAATGCTATCCATGGGGTTTTCTTGGCAAAGATACCGGAGCGGTTTGACATTTCTTTACCCTGATACACAGTAAGAGCTTAATAAACGTTTGTTGAATGACTTTATCTCCAGCCCCTAGCACAGTGCCTGACACATAATAGGCCTTAGTAAATGCTTGATGAATTTAAATGAATTGGAAGAGTAAGCTTAGTAGGGTGTATAGAGAGCTAGTCTCAGAGCTGGAAAAATCCAAGCTGAAGTTTGGACTCTGACACATACCAAATGTGTAACTCTGGACAAGTAACTTAACCTTTCGGTGTCCCAGGTAACTCTCTAAAACTATTAGTTGCTGAGAAGGTACAGATCAGCATTAGTATAGGTAGTTCCCTATACTAATGGAATCAAAGGTCCAGTACAAAAACAAAAGACATTAGAATTAAAATGCATTGAACCACCCAGCTCCAAAAGCATTCCATTATGCTTTCTGAAGAGTTATGATTGTTTGCAACTTCTTTCTCACATTACATCTATATCTGCTTCTCTAAAACTTCTAACAATTCTTCCTAGTTCTTTCTACTCTTTAGAGGTTAAGAAGAAAAAATCTATTCACAGTTCTTCAAATACTTCAAGACAACTATCACTTTAAAACCTTAAAGTGTTATTAAAGCTTAAAACCTCACTAAGACTTTTAGGAAATTCTGTATAACTGTCACTTATCATGTCCACTCTAACTCCTCTCTTCCTGTCTCCAGGCTAAACTTCCTCAGTTTCTTCATATGGCATGAGAGCATTCAAATAGTTTTAGTCTATAGATCTGCTGGGACCCATCTTCTCCTACCCCAGTGGCCATTCTCCTTACTGAGGAGCACCCCTCTACATGTGCCCTCGATCTCATTCCATCCTATCACCTCCAGCAAATGGCCACCTTGAGCATCCTCACTTTCTCAGTAATTTTCAATCTCTCACTGTCTACTGGCTCCTTCCCTATTGCCTATCTTAAAAACAAACCCTCCCCTTAAAAACAAAACAAAACAAAACAGCTTCATTTGCTAACTATTATTCTGTATCTCTCCTCTCTTTCAGGACTAAATTCCTCAAGAAAGCCATCTACAATTGGTCCTTCCCTTTCCTTTCCTTCCACTCTCTTCTAAACCCTCTGCTGTCTGGCTTCACTCAATAGAAACGTTATTTCCAAATATACTAATCATTTCTAAATTGCCAAATCCAATGGTTTTTCTCATTCTTCATCCCTCTTGACCTCTTGGTAGCTGATGACACTGTCAATCTCCCTCTTCTAGACACTGTCCTCTCCAGGGTTTTTTGTTGTTGTTGTTTTTGTAACATTTCTCCTACCTGCCTGACTGGTCCTTCTTGGTCTTCTTTATTGGCTTTCATCCAGGCCATAGCCACTAACGGTGGGTATCCCTCAAGGTTCTATCCTTGGCCCTCTTCTTCCTCTATAATATCATGCTTGATGGTGACATTGGCTTGAGTCAATTATCATCGTTATTCAGATGATTCTTAGATCCACTTATCTAGCCCCAACATCTTTCCAGACCTCCAGTCTTGCATCACCAACTGCCTATTGACTATCTAGCAAAGAATGCTCTTTAGACATATAAACTCAGCATGTACAAAACAGAATTCATTCTCTTTCCCCCTAAAACCTCCCCTCTTCCAAATTACCCAGTTAGTCTAGGTGTCATCCTTGCCTCCTGACTTGCATTCACTCCAAATATCTAATCAGGTGTCCTCATTTTTACCTTCACAACATCACTTCCATGCATCTCCTTCCTTCCTTTGTTGAAGCCTGGTGGCAGCATCCTGGTGGCTGTACCCTGGTACACTCTCTCATCACCTCTCCCCCAGATTTCAGTGGTCTGCTGTGTCTGTCTGCTTACCACAAGTCTCTCCCTGCTCCAGTCCACCTTCCACTCAACTGCCAAAGTGAATTTCCTTAAGCACAGGAATGACCACTTCACTCCCCTATTCAACAAACTCCTGTAGCTCCCTGATTACTTTCAGGATCAAATATAAAGTCCTTTCTGTGGCTTTTAAAACCCTCCACAACCTGATCCCTTCCTACCCTTCTAGTTTTCTTATACTTCACTTTCCTTCACCTAGTCTACGATCCAGCAAAACTGGCCTTCTGGCTGTTCCTAGCACTCCTGACTTCGTTCATGCTGTTTCCCATGCTTGGAATGATCTCCCTCCTGTCTCCTGGCTTCCCTGGCTTCTTTTAAGACAGCATAAATCCCAGCCTCTACAAGAGGCCTTTTCCATTCCCACTCCCGCTCTCCCCACCTCCTTATCCCCATTAATGCTTTCCCGCTCAGATTACCTCCCATTTATACTGTACATATGTAAGTAGTTTACATATTGTCTCCCCATTATACTGTGAGCTTCTCGAAAGCAGGGCCAGTATTTTTGCCTTTTTTTGGGGGGGGGGGAGATCCCCAGCGCTTAGCACAGTGCCTGGCACATAGCAGGCCCTTTATAAATGCTTGCCGACCCTTGATCACCCTGTGTCGGCTAAAGACAGAAGTGGGATATGGGGCCTGGAGAATTCGAGCCACATGAGCGAGAGAAACCCAGACGGTCAGCACCCGCGGGGCAAAGACGGGACAGACGAACAAAACGGGCCTGGAGGGGAAGGGTTAAGGCCAGGGCTCAGTCCCCACTCCACTGCCACCCTCCCTCCCTGCCAGCCCCCATCCTGCACCCCCGGGGCACGCGACGGGAGACCTACAGGTAAGGCCCGGGGAGCCGCGGCGCGCTCGGGAACAGGAACTCCTGCCTGCGCAGGACCCTGGGATCCCCAGGGCGAGGATACTTACTGCTCGAGCCGTCAGAATCCCGGGGACAAGGGAGTTAAGAGTGGCAGGAGAGCAGCTTGAGCTCGTAAATGGCTAAAGCACAAGGAGCCAAGGCTTCGCGGAAGCTCCACTTCCTTTAACTCTTCCTCCTTCCTTCACCCAGCCCTAGACCACTCCCACCAGGCCAGTCCCCAACTTGCGCTTAAAGGAGAAAGAGCCTGGATTCCAAGACAACTGCCCCTAGTAACCTCGTCAGTTAAACCTCATTTTCCAGAGGAGGACCACAAGGGCAAAGGTTACACAATTAGGCTGTGGATAATCCGGGATTCGAACCGCCGTTCTCTGACGAGAGCGCCTGCGCGCTCTCCAGGTAGACTCACAGAAATGACGGGAATCACTGAGTTGGGAGAGATTTCAGAAGTCATTCAGTTTCGTGTAAGCGAAACGTCTATGTGCAAAGCTCTGTGCTAGCAACCCGGGCATACAAAGACCTAAACGAAAGTCTCAGTCCTCAAAGAACATTTTGTGGCCCATCACTGCTATAAAGTCGTCCACTAAAGGTTAGTTAAATGCCTCCAGGACAGAGGTACGCCAGAAGTCAGCCCGTTGTAATTGTGGTCAGCTCTGATTGTTTGGCTGTTGGAAGTCCTGTTGTCTTTTCTCCGAGGTTGACCAAGAAGTAGGAACCCGAACTAGTGGACACCAATCTAAAAAGAAACAAAACTCATTTTAAAAAAAACATCGGTGCAAATCAGAAGTCAAATTTACCGAGTTGCCATTTTATACAACCTATGAATGAGCAACTCAAGATTGTCACTTACCATTTGTATAATTAGCCATTACTTAACCTCTTAATTAGAGAGTTGGACTGATGGTCCAGTTCTAAATCCTATGCTTCTAAGACTCCTACTAAGGTCCAGAAGAGGTTATTGTTTTACGTTTGCAGAAGAGGCCCCACCCTCACCAATGGGGCAGCTAGATGTCACAATGGACAGGGCTTGGAATTAGGAAGACTCATCTTCATGAGTTCAAATCCAGCTGCAGATGCTTACTAGTTGTATGACCCTGGGCAAGTCACCTAACCCTGTTTGCAAATCACTCCAGTATCTTTGCCAAGAAAATCCCAAATGGGGTCATGAAGAGTTGGATGTAACCGACACCCTCACCAATAAATTGGAAACTGTTTCAATGCAGAAGTAAACTTATCTGAGTTAATCCATCTAAATGAATGATGTCCTGTTCAAAGCAGTCACTTTAGAATGTTGCCATTGCTGGAAAGGAAAATCACAAGAACCATTCCTTTACAAGAGGTTAAAGAAGATAAACAATTTTCCAAAAAAAAATTTCAAGTTGTCAATGACTGTATGAAAATATGTTCTAAATTATTAATAGTAAGAAAAATGCACATTAAAACAACACTGAAGTTTTACTTCACACCGTTGCAGGAGTGGCAAAGAAGACAAAAAACAAAAAAAAACCCCAGAAACAATGTCGAGAAACCTTTGGGAAGAGATGTACACTAATCATTGTTGGTGGAGCTGTGAATTGGTAAACTCTCGGCAACTTCTTGGAATTATGTAAGAAAAGTTTCTAGGGGCAGCTAGGTGGTGCAGTGGATAGAGCACTGGGCCCTGAAGTCAGGAGGACTTGAGTTCAAATCTGGCCTCAGACCAAACGCTTGACACTTACTAGCTGTGTGACCCTGGGCAAGTCACTTAACCCCAATTGCCTTAAAAAAAAGTTTCTAAATTGTACTCACCAAATCACTGATATAACAAATATTTCAAAGAAGTCTAGACAGAAACAAAGATCCTACACGTGTCAAAATACCCATAGTACAATTTTTTGTGTATAATATAAAAGAACTGGAAACAAAGTGGGTACCCATCAATTGAAGACTAGCTGAACAAACTGGCATATGCAGGTAATGGAATATTTTTGCAGTAGGAAATGACAAATATAAAGAATTCTGGGAAGCATGAGAAGATGTATATGAGTTTATGAAGAGTGAAGTTATTGTTTGTCCTTCATACTTGAAAAGTATGAATAATGTTATGGTCAATAATGTCATAATGTTAGGGTCAATATATAGTGTGTTTCAGCTGTGGCTGATCAGTTCAGTATGAGTTCAGAAGACTCTACCAGAGGTCAGGTACGAATAGTCCATTTGAACATTTGGGATGGAGATGTCCCTAGATTTGAGCATCTCATGTTTCTCTTAAGCTAGTTCGGTTCTACTTTGTTTTTTGTTTTTGTTTTTGTTTTTAGACAATTGGGGTTAAGTGACTTGCCCAGGGTCACACAGCTAGTGTCAAATGTTTGGTCTGAGGCCAGATTTGAACTCAGGTCTTCCTGACTTCAGAGCCGGTGCTCTATCCACTGGGCCACCTAGCTGCCCCTTGGTTCTACTTTGTTCATAGAGTACAGAGCCTCCTTTAATGCAGGCTGGTCCTATGCTAGTATCTCCCCATCTCATAAGCATAAGCCAAACCAGAACAATATAAACAATAACTACAACAATGTAAATGAAACCAAATGCTGAGTAATTCAAAAACCAATAATGGTCCCAGAGAACAAATGTGTGAAGTGGGAAACAGAGTTATGAAACAGAGGTATGAAACATACCTGTGTCCTCTTGGTTTGAAGACAAACTGTTACAGACATTGTCAGATGTGGTCATTGCATCAGTGATTTTTTTTTTTTTGATTTTGTTTTTGTTACAAGGAAGTTTCAATTAGTTGGAAACTGAAGGAAGGGGAGTGTTGGTGCCAACTAAATTACAACTAGCACAAATGTATAGCCTAACGTCTGATTGGGAGATGCTATACTCCTTTTCATAATGTATTTAAGAATATATTTGCTGTTTAGGGTTTTTATAACTGCACATGTCATCTTTCCTTTGTGAATGTTAACAAATCAATACTGCTTGTTAAAGAATGAATACGGGGCAGCTAAGTGGTGCAGTGGATAGAGCACTGGGCCCTGAAGTCAGAAGGACCTTAGTTCAAATCCGACCTCAGACCACTTGACACTTACTAACTGTGTGACCCTGGGCAAGTCACTTAACCCCAATTGCCTTAAAAAAAAAAAGAATGAATACACACTCATTTCTGCATACTTGTAAGTTAATTAAGGCCCCTTTCTCTCCAATATTAGGATCTTGAAGTGTTTTATTCTCTCTCCTAGAATCCAGGCAAACATTTTTATGTTGAATCTCAAGGGAGAGCTATAGCTCCTTAAAGCAAAGGCCCTATTGTCTCTTCACAAAAATATTCCTTATGGCTGTTACTCTTGGCCTTGGTCAAAGCTATTTAGAGTTAAAAGTCATTAGGATACTCTATTAAAAGTCCAGTTCCCAGGAAGAGCTTAAGGTGTATCAGAGATGGAAAGTTTTCTATATGTAGCTACAGTTTTAGAAGTTGGTGTCCATATTCCTTGAACCTCAGTGTAGCACCCCCACAGGGCTGCTCCTCACCTTGCACTTGCATTAGTATGTTGGGTCCCCTGACAGTGACTTCTCCCTCAAGGTCCAAGCAGTACCCACTCCTAAAACAGGCATCCACTGTATTCTTCCAATTAACAATCAGCCAGCACACCCAGTTAGCTTTTAGCAAAGATATTTACTAAAATAATATAGTAAGAACAGTAGTTATAAAACATTTCCTCCCTCCCAAGAAATTTGAGCGGATTGTCCCACTAATACTTACAGAAGAGGAATAGAAGCAATGAAAGGGACAACCCGTAATTTCATAACTGCCACACCTTGAAGTCCTTTCTCTCCTTTCTTCATGAAGTCTTCTCTTCAGCTCCACTCCTGTTTGCCACTCTCTCTTGAGTCTTTAGTTGACTTTCTTCTCTTCTACCAGGGATCATGCACCTTGAAATTGCTTCCGGCTTCGAGTGACTATCTCACTGTGTGTGTGTCTGTCTTGGGTGTGTATCTTTGCTTCATCACTGTACCTCTAACTCTCTGAATTGACTCAGACTTCTTGATGGAGTGTCTCCATCTGGGCAGGTAGCCATGCTGCTAGATGTCAGAATCAATAGGGAGATAGGAAAGAGAGAGAAATCCAAATGTTCCCTCCCTTCAGAACTCTATTCCACAACTAGCTCCTGGTATGCAGTCCCTAACTCCTAGAGCTGCCCAGAAAACTGATGGAGGCTAAACCTGAGAGCCAAAGAAAAAAAAAGCACAGAGGTTTTGTCCTGTCTCTAGTTTTCCTGACATCTTTACTTGTACAAAGAATATCCTTTGATAAATGTCATTAGTATATACAATTTATATTTCTTAAAAACAAAGAAACGTACATAGTAACAGCCACATTGTGCGATGACTAATATTAATAGACTTAACCCTTCTCAGCAATATAAGTATCTAAGATGTCTCCAAAGGCCTCATGATGGAAAATGCTATCCACATCCAAAAAAAGAACTACGGAGTTTGAATGCAAATCGAAACATATTATTTGCTATTTTTTTCTCTTCTGTTGTGTTTTGTTTCCTTTTTCTGGTGGTTCCTCCTATTAGTTCTAATTCTTACTTACAACATCACTAATGTGAAAATATGTTTAATAGGAATGTATATGTATAGCCTATATCAGATTGTGCGCTGTCTTGGGGAGGGAAGTGGGGAGGGAGGGGGAGAAAAATTTAAAACTCAAAAGCATATGGAAGTAATTGTTGATAATTCAAAATAAATTAATTTAAAAAAAAAAGAAACAAAAAACCTAAACCTCAGCTTTCTCTTCTTTCTTCTCTTTCTGTTGGAAAAGAGAAAAGGAAACAAAACTTTTGCAACAAATTTTGTTGTTCAATCATTGTCTGACTCTTCCTGACCACATTTGGGGTTTTGTTGGCAAAGATACTGGAGTGGTTTGCCATTTCCTTCTCCAGTTCATTTTACAGTTGAGAACAACAATTTTGTTTTGTGAAGTTTGGATTCAGTCAAAGAGCCACACTTGAGGACCTAGAGGGCCACATGTAGCCTTGAGGTCACAGGTTCCCCACCCCTGTCCTAAACCTATTCTGTTAAACCTGAGACTTCTATTCCCTTCATCTTCATCTTCTCTCCAACTTCACTTTCTTCCCTTTCCCATCTTGACTTCATAGTTAATCATTTCAATTCTATACTGTCGTTTGCTCTGAAATCTCTCACCCTATCACCGC